CCCGCTCGTCTTTGGCTCCTCTCCCCCTCGCAGCGGCGGCATGGAGCCGGCCCCGGCGCGGCGCCCTCGTCGGCCGAACCGGACCGCCGCCGAGCGCAGGGCCCAGTACCGCCGCGCGGACGCGCGGGCTGCTGGGCGGCTGCTGCGAGCGTTCGTCGAGGTCGAGCGCCACCGAGGCCAGAGCCTGAGCGGCCTGGCCCAGGCGCTCCGCACGGCGCTGGGTGCTGGGGCGACTGGCGACGCCGATCCGTCTCCCACGGGGCCCTGCGGGGGATTTCTGCCCTTGATGTGGTGGATGCGGAGGCGGCGCAGCCAGCGGAGCAGCCTGCTTCCGCTGCCGATGTGGCCGCGGAGACTCCGAGCGCCACCAGCGCTGTGGAGGTCTCAGCCGAGGTGGCAGCAGAGGGCGGCCCTGATGATCCTCCTGGTGCCGCTGCTGATGCTGCTCCTCCTGGAATTGCTGGACCCGCGGAGCGGCCAGAGCCCGAGCAAGAGCTCACCGAGGAAGAGACAACTGTGCTGGAGGAGGCGATACGGCTGTGCAGCGAGCAAGCCTTGGATGTTGAGCAATTCCGAGAAGAGGCTCGGCGGCAGCTCATCAGAGACAGGGCTCGCGCTGACAGTACGTAGCATTCTCATGTTATCGGTTGTGGGGTCGTGACGGCGTTTATTTCTTTTGCTGATGGGAGAGATTTCACACACCTTTTGTGCTGCGCCATTGAAGGACGGCGCGTAACTTCAGGTGACGGGACGGATCACATTGTTTTGCAGGCCTGCGCCATTGGAAGACGGCGCGTACATTTCAGGTGACGGACGGAGTTCTCTCTTGTTTATGTTTGCAGCGCCATTCGAAGGACGGCGCGAATTTCAGACGACGGGACGGAATTCTTCACTTGGTTTGCATGCCTGCGCCATTTCGAAGGACGGCGCACACTTTTCAGGTGAAGCGAGGGCTTTCTCACTTGTTGTACACTCGTATGTGACTTCGATTTGATTGGATCCAGTCCATTCTGGTTTGTATCTCATTGGCTGCTCTATTCTTGCGTCGATTCATAATGTTATTCTCGGGCACCTTCTTGATATAAGAGTGCCCGTTTCCGCCTTGTTGGACAGACCCCTGGTCAACTTCGGGGTCCTCCTCCTCCTCCTCCTCCTCCCTCCTCCCTCCTCCCTCCTCCCTCCTCCCTCCTCCCTCCTGCCTCCTCCCTCCTCCCTCCCTCCCTCCTCCCTCCTCCTCCTTCCCTCCTCCCTCCTCTCCTCCTCCTCCTCCCTCCTCCCTCCTCCCCTCCTCCCTCCTCCCTCCTTCCTCCTCCCTCGCTCCTCTTCCCTCCTCCTCCTCCCTCCCTCCTCCCTCCTCCTCCTCCCTCTCCCTCATGCCCTCCTCCCTCCTCCCTCCTCCCTCCTCCCTCCTCCCTCCTCCCTCCTCCCTACTCCTCCTCCTCCCTCTCCCTCCTTCCCTCCTCCTCCCCTCCTCCCTCCTCCCGCCCCTCTCCTTCCCTCCTCCCTCCTCCCTCCTCCCTCTTGCCTCCTCCCTCCTCCTCCTCTCCCTCCTCCTCCTCTTCCCCTTCTTTCCTCTCCTCCTCATCCTCCTCCTCCTCCTCCTCCTCCTCCTCCTCCTCCTCCTCCTCCACCTCCTCCTTGTCCTCCTCCTCCTTCTCCCCCTCACTCCCCCTCACTCCTCCTCCTCCTCCTCCTCCTCCTCCTCCTCCTCCTCCTCCTCCTCCTCCTCCTCCTCCTCCTATGATCCCCCACTCTCCCTTCCTCCTCCTCCTTCTCCTCCTCCTCCTCCTCCTCCTCCTCCTCCTCCTGTCCTCCTCCTCCTCTTCCTCCTCCTCCTCCTCCTCCTCCTCCTCTTCCTCGTCCTCGTCCTCCTCCTCGTCCTCGTCCTCGTCCTCGTCTTCCTCCTCCTCCTTCTCCTCCTTCTCCCTCCTGGCATTCCAAAATGACAGACACACATGCGGGCTGGTTCCCCCAATGGATGCCCGCCGCGGCTCCCGATTTGCGGGCTCAGGTAAATCTGACGATTCGGACGCTTCGCTCGCAGGAGGTTGGATGTCGCATGGCCAGCTCATAGCTTACTTTGGACAACACATGGTGAAGTGTTGTGTAAGCCGTAACGTAAAGCCCAGTACGCACGGATTCCCTAAACAGTGCTTGCTTGCACTTAGGGTGTGTTACGTGTGTTCGGAGGAGCTGGGTTCCTCTGCTGTGTCCGCCGCGTTGTTATCACTGCCGCCGCCCCGTTGCCGCATCGTCGCCGCCCGGCGTTTGGGTTCCGTTTCCAGGTCCGCCAACTTGTCGTCGCCGTCGCCGCCTCGTCGCCGCCCGTCCTCTGGGAGCTCCATTGCCAGGTCCTCCGCCTTGTTGTCGCCGTCCCGCCTCGTCGCTTCGTCGTCGACCGATATAGATTCCGTTTCTAAAAACAAATTCGGATTTAGCCCCCCCGGGGATGATCGGTTCTCCCTCGGGCGATACAACCTACATACGACACTGCCCCATCGCTTATTTCAGTCCGTACCATCCAAAAGAAACCCGTTACCGCCCACCCACCCCATCACCACTGCCGACCCGTTACCGCCCCCCATCACCACTGTCAAATACTACGGTATACCCGCGCTCGGTTTACCAAAAACCGCCCACGTACAACCTTCATTTGCGTAACATGAAAAAAGTTCACACGAGCGCGGCGTCGCGCGCGCATGCCGAAACCAGTCAAACGCCTCAGAATTCGTGGGGCTATCAAGATCGAAATCCCCGAAAACATGGAAAACGTTGTCATAATTCCGCAGCGCGGCTTTCAAACAAATCGGCGCGCGGTGTTGCGACTTTGTGTGAAAACATGCGCTCGACAGCTTGCCGAATAAAACCATTCGGACCTACCGCGCGCATGTCGACTCTTTCCAGCGCCTTTTGCGCGCTTGCTGGGGGAGACGGTCCTTGTCAAATAATACAATGCGTGCCGCTCTCGCCCGTCGGCCGGGCGCGCATGTCGAAATCCCTCCTACATCACCGACAAGTGCGCACCATCATCATCATCGGCGTGATCAGCATCGGCGACGTCATTGGCCTTGCCGTCGTCATCGCCGCCATCGTCACCAACATCGCTACTATAATCATCGTGTCAGCCGTTGCCAGCGTCGCCATGATACCGCGCCAGCCCGAGTCACCGACTCGCACTGAAGTGCCCGTGCGTCAGCGCGGTCTGTGAGGAGCGCTGGGAACTCCCCAGCGGTCAGCGCCACCACGGCCGCGCTGGTCGCGCCAGACTAGCTGGCCACTGTGCGCGCGAGCCTGCGCGCGCTAACGCGACCGCAGCGGAGCGCCAACGAATTCAAAACAGTAATCGCAATCCCCGCCGCATTGGCTTTGCAAACTGAATTGCGGGCGGGTGGTTTGGATGATTGCGCGAGCAGTGGAGTTGACAACTTGCGAGTGAACCACATAGATTGCACCACATGGGTTACATCACATAGCGTGCACCACATTGATTGCACCATGCAGAGAGCTATAAGCACTGCTTGGAGCCAACGCTGACTAACATTGGTTCCACGACTTGCAACGATCGGGAGCTCGCTGGTACCATTAGTCCTTTCCCACCCTCCTTTGCCAACTCCTGATATCACTCCTCCTCTTCCTTCTCCTCCTTCTCCTCCTCCTCGACTTCCTTCCTTCTTCCCATCCTCATCCTCTTCGCCATTATCCTAAGACGCGAGAAGGACTCGCGAATCACACAGAGGTTCCTTCTGAGCGACCGCATGCTGAATCGCAAGCGTGACATTCGGACGGAATGCCCAAAGTTTGATGGCAGTTGGCGGGCATCATCTGCACGGCAAACCTTCTGTTTTGACAGCAGCAGCAACAAGAGAAACAGATGAAGAACGGAGATGCCTTCACTACATGGAAGGCTGCTCTTGTGCTTGTTCTTGCCGGTGCAAGTGAATGGCCTGGATGCGGGCAAGGCGCCAAAGCTTAGACGAGCGTGCTGAGCCATGGTGCCAGAGCGCACGTAAGGCACCGAAAGAATGTTGAAAACCAAGGGGCGACAATAACTCGTTGTCTGAACAGGAGAGGATATGGCATGATTGCGAGACTGACATGACAAGGCTGGTTCCGCCATCTGGAAAAACAGGATCTACCTTCTGGGCAGAGCAATCGCCAAGAGAAGCCGATCAGGAGTACATGGGAATAATAATCAAGCACACCACCAGCAAGCAACAAACTCCTTGCGGCTCAAAACGGGTGCAACAATTCGGACCTTGATGTTAAGGTCTGGCGGGGCTGCCATGCGCTGCCCTTACGCTCATGCGGGCATACCAAGTCAGAGAAACGCGACATCATGACGTAGCCTTGGCTCAAACCAGACGCCTGGAGAAATCTCACGGGTGCGATCCAAGAGCCTAGCCACATAATCCCAATGAACCACGCGGGGGGGGGTGCGTTGAACTGTGTCGACCGTCGCGGTTTGGTTCCGAGGAATCATACGAAATTGCCCCCAACCTGGTATTTTGAAGCGCCCAATACGACCACCAGAAGGATACGATCACCGTGCTTGTAAGCATGTGAAGCTCAACGGGCGAGCTTTGCAGGGATGGTAGCCAGGTGTCGACCTGAGTGTCTTTCGACCTGCTGGATTTCCACACTCTCGCCCTCCGAATTATCATGCAATATATTTAGCTGGGCTGAGGTGTTTGTGGAATAACGTGAAGCCCTCCTCGAACCCCGCATTTGGAACCAATACCAAGCCCAGTTGGCATTGAAATAGACGCTGGTTCGATATGCATCCGACGTCGAATCAACGCACATCTGACGTTGACCCGACGGACAGCAAGAATAGCCCGACTAGTATCGCGTTGCGTTGGGCAAAGAAGGAGGGCAGACGAGAGAAGATGGGAGCAAGGGGGTTGCGATTTGAAGGTAGCGGGAGGGGCAATGACGAGACTCGGTTTCTCTTGGTCGATCGTGTCCGTGATGTCCTCCACGCCTGTGTCCACTAGACTTGCTAGCTCGACCACGTGAATATATGTCAAGTTCTCGTGCGCGTTTACACTGAGAACGACAGTGACGGCCGCTCAAGTGGCGCGATTTCTACTGATCAAGCGCCACCGAAGATCACGTCGTCAGCTGACAGGGAGCCCCAAGACGTGGTACAAGGGGCCTATGGGAACGGGGCGAGGACGAGTTGTGCACGCGTGCTGCTCTCCACCACGCCCGCTCTGCGTCTCTCTGGGCGCTCACTCGGCAACTGCTCCTGTCCGTTGCCGCTGCCGTCGTCGCGTCGTCGGATCGCCATGTCCCCCCCCTTCTCCTGCAGGACCCCCCCATCCCAGAATCTCGCCATCGCTCGGACGTCCATTCCCCGTGAATGTGTCGGTCTCGTGCGCTCCTGTTTCGCAAGATGGCCAACGATGCTCCTCAATGGTCCTCGAGGATTTGTTCCCAACCATCCTGTGGTGTTGGGTCCTCGTTTTGAAGAGACGGTCCCCGCGTTCCTTTCCTCTTCTCCTCCGCCTCTCCCTCATCCCCTCCCTCCTCCTTCTTCCATGCGTTTCAACACCAAGTACAGCGCTTCGTGGCCCCAGTGGGACCGCCCGCATGCGCCCCCCCACACCCAATTTGGCATGCCCACCCACCAAGTACAGCGCTTCGTGCGCCCCCCACATTCAATTTGGCATGTTCACACATCCAGTACAGCGTTTCGTGGCCCCGTAAGGGGGCTCCACCGAAGCCCCCAGTGGGACCGCCCGCATGCGCCCCCACAGGGAGCTCCACCGAAGCCCCCAGTGGGACCGCCCGCATGCGCCCCCCACATTCAATTTGGCATGTTCACACATCCAGTACAGCGTTTCGTGGCCCCGTAAGGGGGCTCCACCGAAGCCCCCAGTGGGACCGCCCGCATGCGTCCCCCACACCCAATTTGGCATTTTCACCCACCCAGTAGAGCGTCCCGTGCCCCCTCATAGGGAGCTCCACCGAAGCCAGTGGTACCGCCAGCATGCGCCCCCCACGCCCAATTTGGCATCTTCACCCACCCCTTACAGCGCTCCGTGGCCCCACAAGGAGCTCCACCGAAGCCCCCAGTGGGACCGCCCGCATGCGCCCCCCACGCCCGATTTGGCATTTTCACACACCCAGTACAGCGCTTCGTGACCCCATAGGGAGCTCCACCGAAGCCCCCAGTGGTACCGCCCGCATGCGTCCGCCCCACACCCAATTTTGCATTTTCACACACCCAGTACACCGCTTCGTGGCCCAATAGGGAGCCCCACCGAAGCCCCCAGTGGTACCGCCCGCATGCGTCCCCCACACCCAACTTGGCATTGTCACCCACCCGGTACAGCCCTTCGTGGCCCCATAGGGAGCCCCACCGAAGCCCCCAGTGGGACCGTCCGCGTGCGTCCCCCACACCCGATTTGGCATTGCCACCCACCCAGTACAGTGCTCCGTGGCCCCATGGGGAGCTCCACCGAAGCCCCCAATGGGACCGCCCGCATGCGTCCCGCACGCCTTTTTTGTTAGTTTCACCCACCCAGTGCAGCGCTTCGTGGCCCCATAGGGAGCTCCACCGAAGCCCCCAATGGGACCGCCCGCATGCGTCCCGCACGCCTAATTTGGTAGTTTCACCCACCCAGTGCAGCGCTTCGTGGCCCCATAGGGAGCTCCACCGAAGCCCCCAGTGAGACCGCCCGCATGCGCCCCCCACAGGGAGCTCAATCGAAGCATCCAGTGGGACCGCCCGCATGCGCCCCCCCCCCACACCCAATTTTGCATTTTCACACACCCAGTACAGCGGTGGCCCCATAGGGAGCCCCACCGAAGCCCCCAGTGGGGCCGCCCGCATGCGTCCCCCACACCCAAGTTGGCATGTTCACCCACCCTTTACAAAGCTTCGCGGCCCCATGGGGAGCTCCACCGAAGCCCCCAATGGGACCGCCCGCATGCGTCCCACACGCCTACTTTGGTTGTTTCACCCACCCAGTGCAGCGCTTCGTGGCCTCATAGGGAGCTTCACCGACTGCCCCAGTGCTACCGCCCGCATGCGCTCCCCCCCCGCCCAGCGCAGCGCCCCGTGGCCCCATAGGGAGCTTCACCGAAGAAGAGATTCACAATTGCGGTACCCACAACTAGAAAAAGCGATGATAATGTCAATAGAAAAAAGATAAAGCCAGGATAATGTCAATAGAAAAAAGGATAATGTCAATAGAAAAAGCGCACACGCCTGAGCGATGCCGAGGAATCCACCTCGAACCCCTGCCCCTCCTCCCTCTGCTCGGCCTCGACCCCGTGCCTCCTCCTCCTCCTCCTCCTCCTCCTCCTCCTCCTCCTCCTCCTCCTCTCGACCATCTGCCTCCTCGAGCTCCTGCCCGTCCTCCTCCTTCAACATATCTGGCGCGCCGAGCTCGCACGCGCTGCTCTCGCCTCATCTTGTGGGAGAGAGGGGAGCGGGGGGAGAGGGGGATGAGGAGGGGAGGAAAGGGGAAGGGAGCAGAGAATGAGAATGAGAATGTCTGTTCACGTAGTGAGATGGAACAGTGACCTTAAAGCGTGGAGGAGGGGCCAGAACGCTTCGCCTGCACAGCCTTACTTAGGAACTTAGGCCACAGACCTTGGCGGAGTCTTAAGAAATACGCTTCTCCTGGAGGTGTAGGTCGATCACAAGGCTTGCGGAGGGACGCAGTACGTTGGATGGATCAGATCGGATGAAGGCTCATGGTCAGCCTGCTGCCTGCAAGAGAGCTTCAACACTATGTCAGGCCAACGAACAGAAATAATGAGCGGGCAGGAGGATAGGCGGGAGGGAGGAGGGAGGAGGAGGAGGGAGGGAGGAGGGAGGGAGGAGGGAGGAATGAGGAGGAGGAGAGGGAAGAGGAGGAGAGGGGAGGGGAGGGAAGAGAGGAGGGAGGGAGGGGAGGGAACAGGAGAGGCGGGGAGGGAAGAGGAGTGGAGAGAGGGAGGGGAGGGAAGCGGAATGGAACAGGGGTTGGGGGAAAAATCGGGAATAGAGGAGATAGATCGAAGGACTGAAAGTTAGGCAGCAACTCAGGGAAAGTCTTCGTCGGGAAGATTCGGGCGATTCAGCCCGAGTGCTAGGCAGCTGGGCAGGATCAGGCCGGCTTGAGCCCAGGACAAAGCTGGATTCAGCTGGATAAAGCCAGGTTGCGCGAGATAGTACCAGATCGAACGATATTAAGCCCGAGTGAGCGAACTATGCCAGCGCCGACTCTGAATTGAACCTGCCAAGAGTTGCACCCTGGAGTTAGAACGCAAAAAAGATTGGTGGACGGGCGGGACGTGATTTTCCGGCAACAGTCGAAGAGGAAGGCCTTCCGACAAAAACTTATACCGAGCCTTCGCCTGGACCCCCTTACGCTAAACCAACCAGAGAGAAAGAGGACAAAAAAGAGAAACAACAACATAGAGAGCCATGACGGCTCGCCCGACATCACTCGCCGTTGGCAGGTCTACGACGCGGTACTTGTTCGGCAACGTCTCGTGCTTGGACCACAAGTCTACGACCTGCTCTGCCATGCTGACCTGGGAGCACAAAGACAGAAGAGACCAGAATCGAATCGATAACTCTGATCGGCGATCGGTATGGATCGAATCGGCGGATATCAGGAACCAAGTCGGAAGAAGTCGGATCGGCGGGAAATCGGCAGGCTAGTAAGCTCTCGAGGAACCGAACTCGAAATCGGAATCCTAAATCGAATCAAATCGGGATCGGAATCGATCGAAGTCGAATCGACTCGAGTCGGAGGAGTCGAAGTGCGCCCTGCAAAGGGCGCCCCGCCCGCCAATGGGAAATCGCTTCGGGACGCGAGGCGCGCCTCCGTTTTGCCATCGATCCAAGACGCTGCGACACCAGCTGACTGAGAACCCGGGCAGCCCAGGAGGGTAGTCTCCTGTCGACCCTTCAATGCTTTTCTGCACGCCCTGGCCTTAGAGGGGAAGCTCTATCTCCAGAGGGTGTGAAGAGAGCGTATGGCGAGAGGAGAACAGAGGCAGACGGGAGCAAGTGTCGAGGCGGGCACAGACATGTAATTTGACATTGGGCTCGCCGCGGTGACCATCGGTCCATCGGCGTAGGCCCGTTCGTTCTTAAGGTCCCAGTCAAGCACAGCCTTCTGGAACAGAATACCGCACAACATCAAGTGTACTGCCTTATCCCGGTAATTGAGCAGGCTGACCAGCACATCTACGCTCATGGCCGCGTTCTCTGCCGCGGCGCTTCCTGAGATGCTCTTGAGGTCCACCTCCATGTCGTTCATGCAGTCCTCCCACGTTCTGTTCTGCTGTGAGAAATCTGGGGGCAGGTCCATGAATTCCTGCAGGATCTGGTAAAAGAAGCGGACGTCCGCCTTCAGGCGGTCGACAGCGAAACGGTATTTGTCCTGCGCCGATTCGCCCTTCGAGTCGTCCTGGATCCGGGAGTCGACCCGCATGGCCCTGGAGAGTCTCTGCTGCTCCTGGAGGCTGGTCTTCAGCCCCAGGACCTTCCTGGTCCACGCCAAAACGATATCGTAGGTGTGCGCACAATCTTGCGGGTCCTGGGCGTGAGCAGAAGACGCCGCACACCCTTGACCCCACAGACCACTCCCTCCACATGTTCCTCGTGCTCATGTCCTATTCTGCCCCCTCCTTAGCTTTTCCGTCCAACGGTCCTTTTTTCCCAACCATCCTGTGGTGTTGGGTCCTCGTTTTGAAGAGACGTCGCCCCGCGTTTTCCTCCTCCTCCTCCTCCTCCTCCTCCTCCTCCTCCTCCTCCTCCTCCTCGGGAGAGGCCCCTCGCGAGGACACCGGGGCCCCTCAGGCGAACAGCCGAAGTCCGTCCCATTCACGCTCCGACGAACAGCGAAGTCCGTCAGGCGAACAGCCCGGGGTCCGTCAGGCGAACAGCTATGGAGACGTCCGGCGAACAGCCCCGGAGACGTCCCGCCTGCAGCCCCGGAGCGCTCAGGCGAACCCTGAGGTCCTCAGGATCAGTTTATTTCGATCTTGGCTATTCGTCTTCCCATATGATGTTTAGCACGCGTGCAAAATTGATGTTTTTTTGTGCGATTATTCACGTTGTACATTCGCGTGTGACTTGCGCGCTGCGTATGCCGCGCGACGTCTTCGCGCGCCGACAACCCGCGCCGCGCCTTGAGATACGCGTGTTTACACCTTAGTCAAGCCGAACACGCTATACTTAAACCTACAACGGCGCACAGGGCCGCCCCTGAAACATCCCTTCGCTCCTCTTCTCCCAATCGCTCCCCTTTCCTTTTCCCCTCCTCCTGGGGATGTTTCAGGGGCCGCCCCTGAAACATCCCTTCGCTCCTCTTCTCCCAATCGCTCCCCTTTCCTTTTTCCCTCCTCCTGGGGATGTTTCAGGGGCCGCCCCTGAAACATCCCTTCGCTCCTCTCTCTCGCTCCCAAGGGGCCGCCCCTGAAACATCCCTTCGCTCCTCTTCTTCGCTCCCCTTTCCTGTTTCCCTTTTCCTGGGGATGTTTCAGGGGCCGCCCCTGAACATCCCTTCGCTCCTCTTCTCCCAATCGCTCCCCTTTCCTTTTTCCCTCCTCCTGGGGATGTTTCAGGGGCCGCCCCTGAAACATCCCTTCGCTCCTCTTCTCCCAATCGCTCCCCTTTCCTGTTTCCCTCTTCCTGGGGATGTTTCAGCGGCCGCCCCTGAAACATCCCTTCGCTCCTCTTCTCCCAATCGCGCAGGAGGAAGGGGGGGAGCAGGGGGAGCAGGAGAAGGAGGAGGATGAAATTTCGAATGGCCGTCTGCCCATCACGCCACCGTGCCTGGGTTGTGGGTGTGAGACCTCTTGGAGGCTTGCTAGGTTTCCGTGTGGAGCCTGTCGGGGGCCTCTTGGGGGTAATGATGAGTCCTCTTGGCTGCCGTGATGGTGCTTGTTGGGGCCTCGTGCGGGCAGATTGACTATGCGTTTGCGACTCTGGAGGTTTTTCGTTTGAACATTTTCTCTTAGGGGGGGGGAAGGGGGAGGGCTCGCCACAGTTGCCCCCGCCCCAAAAAACCGGCCCCACAAACATGTCATTCGTAGTCTGTCCTGTTGGTGACGGGTTGGTGGGGCCCCTTGCGCGAGCGGGCGGGTTGCTCCTTTTGTCGGCCCCTTTCCGAAACCCATGCGGACAACGGTGCAAGGGATGAGCGTTGGGTGGGTGAGACTGGACTGGACTTATCGCGAAGCGATGAAAACGTCACCCAACCCGCCGCCGAGATATTACTCAGCATAGATGGGACCACAAGCTGGGCTAGAAAATTAGCCCGGCACTCGAATTTTAGACCCCCCCTGTTTACGTAAACAGGGGGGGTCTAAAAATTGTACAATTCGTATGAAAGTATACCATTTCCCGCCACAAAAAGACCTCCCACGAGGCCCCTTGGGAGGGCGCAGATTGGGCTACTTATACTTCGGGAATTTACCCTCGCCCCCCCACCCTCCTGTTTAGCCTGAAGGCCCCAAGAAGTCACGCCGCGACAGCCCAGGATTGCCCCAATTAATCTCCAAGACGGCCCGAGTAATGCCTACAAGGCCTCCCAAGACCCCAAGATTGCCGCCAAGAGGGCCCAATGAAGCCAAGATGCTTCCAAGATTGGCTCCAAGACTGGCTCCAAGACTACCCAAGACCTTTCCAAGACGGCGCGTGGGGTGCAGCGCGAAGCGGTCGCATATGTAAAACAAATCACATCTATGTTTGAAGCGAGAGCTCTCGAATTGCACAATGGTGATGTCTTCTTTTGTGTTTTGCAAGGCGTCGCCGAGTGTGCGGCGCAGTCCAGGCACGAGCACGGATCAAGACCATCGTGTGATCGATGGTAAATCAAGACCTCCTCTCGGGAGGGAGTTCTGCGAATGATTGTAACGTTCGCAATGCCCATGTCACACGATGCGATGACCCCACGATCCGCTTGACAATTGCATTGAGCCCTTCGTCTCGCCAGCACGCATACCATGCTGGCGGGCCAAGCTGAAGAAGGGCTGCAGCCATCTCCATCAAAAAATGGTGCTTCTGAATGCCACGAAGCTCGAGCACCTTACATTGTCTGATATGAACAATGACATTGTCAATGAACCGCTGCACTTCAGATGTTGGCATCGTGTCGTGGAACTCGCGTATGATAGCTAACAAGGTTACCAATGAATGAAGCCCGCGAGCCCATGCTCCTGATTTTTCGAGGCTGGCCCCATATTTTGGCATAAGGTACGTATGGCTGAACAACAAAAAACTATTCGTTTCACTCCCATGCAGATTGAGCTCCGCTTTCTTTTTGCCGAACATCGAAGCTGTGAGATTCTGTACTTGTGTATGCTCACGGCCATCGTCGCGCTCCTTCTTGTACCACCTGAAGAGCTCATCACGCATAATTTGCACACTGAATTCGATTCGGGCATCTTGTGTTGTATGAGGTGACCCCCAAGCATTTGCTTGGAACAAGCTTCGAACAAAGAATGCACAGAAGAATTTGAACACGCCCAAGCTGCAGACGTGCAACCAGTCTAAGCCGAAACATCGTTGAGGCGTTATGCCCAGCTGGGCGCTAAACAGAGGACATCGCCTCCTGGCGATCGTCTCACGAGACCTCCTCCAGAATACGACGTCGTCGACTGGCCCGCTGATGTCGTCGATCCACGTTATATCTGGGCGGTCTGGCGTCGTCTCTAACCTGTCACCTTTATTGAGTCCCAGCGACGGCAAGTCTCGTCGGAGTGCTCGGCCGCGCGGGCCCGTGGAACCCCTTTCATATCGGAGCGCCCCCCGAACCAACATCAGCTGTTCGTGAGATAAGTTAACTCTGATTTCGCACTGGTCACATGCCTGAAGGTAGTCGTCGAAAGTTCGTTCCAACCACCCAACTCCTACTGCAGACAAGCCGGCTCCATCATCGAGACTGTCGTCGCCAGGCCAATGACAGAAAGGACAGCCAAATAGGTAGGTACCTGTCGATGGTAATCCCCAAGTCGTGCAATACTCCATCAGGTCGCCCTTTAGAAACATGATAGCACAAATGGCAGGGGCAGCTGATCCAGCAAAGGCCGCACGGACGGAGTCGCTGTCATCCAAGAATGCTTTCTGGTCGTGCCGCCGATCAGGCCAGTGCCCACACGCCATAGCGTTGGCGCACCAAAGTAGCCAGAGCTGCAGCACGTACACAGAACACCAGCCTCGACATCCACATTTGCAGATGTCCTGCTTCCGTAGGCAGGCCACCAAATGGCGAACTTTCGAAACGAGTGAGAAGGCATAGACCGCGACGACCCCATCGTGGCGATGGGTAGGTACACCATCGAGGTACAACGCCACTGGATGCACAGGGTTGGGGCCCGCATGAGAGACCACCACGGGGTGCGACCAGTACGATGGAGGTAGCAAATTCTGATCAACCATTTCTCGAAGCTGCTGTTCAATTTCAGGTGAGCCCGACATTTCATCCCACAACCGCTCGTGCACAGGTATCACTGGTTGCGGCTCCACAACTCCACTCGCGTCGGACCGTCTGTTCATCGGAAGCCATAGCTAATATAAAGATCCATCTTCTGCGAGGTTATCTGACAGTACCTTGTCGATTTTTCTTTGGTAGTGCCCGCTCTGAGCGTCGGGGCGCAACGAGAAAGATGACACTGGCCCAATTGATCCACTCTTTTCCGCCCAAAACGCAATGACGCAGCACTGCTTGGAGCTAATGTGCCCTTCGTGCTTGAGTTGGAGCAGCAAGTCTGCGAGAGACTGGCCAGCCTCTGTTTGCGAGATCGCGTCCCAATCTACTTTGTCGCCATCATCCTCAGCGTCGGAAGCATCATTGATCAGATCATCGAAATTGTCCCACTGCGGGACGTCGTCGTCCCAACCAGGCATGCCACCAGCTGATAGCTTGAGCGAAGGGCTTGAGCCAGAGCCAAAACGGCTAGGGGTATTGCGTTGGATGTTGATGTTGTCGTTTGTTATGTTTTCTTTTTTTCTCTGGGTGGGCGTGCGTTTCTTTTTGGGCGTAGCGGGTATTTCTCGGCCTACCCCTCCAAAACAGCATGCCCGAATTGCGCGACGTGTTAGGCTTGGTTTCTACCAGGGGGGTGGGCCAGAGGACGAGGAGGGGAGGGGGCACGCTCCAGATAGGCGAGCTACGTACCCCAGAAAGGCGGACCACGAAGATGTTATTTCTGCCCCCCTTTGAAATAACATGTGCGACCTCCTCCCCCCTCTCCTCCTCCTCCTCCTCCGCCTCCTCTCGAATAGCCAAACCTCCGTTTTCGTACCCCCGTTGAATTCCCCTGGCCCCTTCTGTCTCGCATGCCCCTTGTGTTCTCGTACCCCCCATTGATTTCCAGCGCCCGCTCTTCGACTTCTGTCATTGCTACCGTGAGGCGAGGGGGCTGAAGAGAAGGTGCATCAGCGAAACGGGCGCGTGACACACCGCAGCAGGCGTTCAGATACTCATGACGCATCCAATGTTACTTCGTTGAGAGCAGACATCCTGATCTATAGTAAGAGCGAGACGGCGACGAGCACTCGGTAGTTTTCAAGAGTTTTCAGGAGTTTTCAAGTTTTCAGGAGTTTTCAGGGTGACCTTGAAAACTCATGAAAACTATTGTTTTTAGCGACAGTCACAGTGAAAACTAAGTTTTCACGAGTTTTCAGGAGTTTTCAGCGCGTTGAGTTTTCAGGAGTTTTCAGAAGTTTTCAAACGCTTTGTTTCTGAAAAATTCTTGTAGATATAGGCGGGAACACCAAACGGCAGCATCCAACGTTGCATTTATCAAACTCGCTTTGCAGCGACGCCGATATCTCTGGCACTTTGGCGGCGCCCTCCCTGCCGAGGGTGATTCTCAGCAGCGGATGCAGGAACTGGCGTGCGTTCTCTCTTGGGGATCCTCTCTCCCTCGCCCTCCCTCCCTTCCCTCCCTTCCTCCCCCATTCTTCCTCCTACTCCTCCTCCTCATCATTCGCCCCTCAAGCCAGACAGATACGCACAGAGGAGCTTGGGCAGGCATGCGGTGGCACCGCGAGCCGCTGAAGGATAGCTTGGACCGTCATGAGTACTGCATCCCCCGATCAGTACAAGAAGCCCTCGACGTAGTCCTGGCATTGCCGCTAGTCCGCGGAGCGCTTGATCATCATATTCTGCCTGGCCTGGTGCATGTCCTTCAACAGTGTGATCTGGGCGTTCAGATCGTTGATGGCTGTCTGCATCGCTGGGAGGCCCTCCTGCAAGTTCGACTCGATGGTCGGCTCGGAGTATGTCAATTTGACATTCTTGGCCCAGTCAGACTGCACGGTCCACGCGCACCAGAACTTGTCATTCGTCTTGAGTTTGCCGAGAAGGAGTTGCTGCGTGGTCAGGTCCTTCAGGTTGGCGTCGTTGTTAGCCCAATGCCACTCCTTTTGCGTGGTGATGGCCTGAAGGAGGTCCGACGCCGCCGTGCTGACCTTCTCCATCTTCTGCTTGATCTTCATCGCCTCCGCAACGACCGTCTTGAAGGACTTTGCTGCTGCACGAGAGTCGTCCTCGGGCTGCGCTTTGACCTTGCCGAGGCCCTTGGCTTCGGACTTCGCCGCGGTGGCCGTCCCGACCCTCCTCCTCTTCTGCTCGGGAACCTCTGGGGGGCCGGTTGCAGCTGCTTCAGGCGCTGGAGGCGCTGGGAGAGCTGGAGGTGCAGCTGGGCCTGCTGGTGCCCGACCCGCAGATGCCGACGAAGCTACCGTGGCCTGGCTCCGAGACGGCGCCTCCGAGTGCATGCGGGGACCTTCATCTAGCAAATGAGTGGTCTTAGACCAGGACTCCTGGTTCGAATCGTCAAAGTACTCCTGGATCCTCAAAAACTTGACGCGGTTGTACAGCTAGTCGAAGACAATCCAGGGCCGTCCTTTGTAGGTCTTGCCTTGGGCAACAAAGGTCGCAATATTCTTCACGTAGTTCTGCACCGCAATGAATGCCATCGCATCGTTGCCCTCCTTCTTGACGTGTATCGAGAGCGGCAAGTACTCACCCCTCATGCCATCGACCTGCCTGTACTCGGAGGTCTTCGTGCGCTCCTCCTTCATCTGCACAGATCGCTGGCCCGCCCAATCAATTTTGAATTTCCGCTGCGCCTCGTAACCCCTGCCGACGAGCTTGTAATCTTGCTTGAGCTTCGTGTTCGCCGCCAGCTCCTTCGCCCGCCACCGGTTGAATTCGCTGTTCGCTTCCGTCGGCAATTTCTTCTCCTCGGACGCTTTGGCCAGCATTTCCTCGATGGGCGTCGGCGGTGCCGACTCGTCCTCCTTCCTGTACTTCTCCTCTGGAATCATGTTCGAAGCGCCCATCGCCGCGGCTCTGAGCAGTGCTTCGGCTGCCGAGGTCGCACCTTGCACCGAGTCCGTGACTTGAATGCTCATCAATTGGTTCGCCCATGACGGCGGGCCCTCTGATGCGCCGACGCAGTCGGTCATCTTTGGAAACGGACCGAACTGAAGCCAGACGTGATCGCACACGAATCTCGAGCCAAAACGGCTACGGCCGAGGGTGAGACGAGGCTGACGACTGCTGAGACGTTCTGTCATCATAGACCACGGCAGATCAGTTCTCTTCGACGTACTCCTCCACCTCTTCTTCCTAGTTACCCTCCACCTCCTTCTCCCTCCGCCTCCCCCTCCTCCTCCTCGTCCTTCTCCTCCTCCCTCCTCCTGCTTCCATTCATTTTCTGGGGCGTTGCGGAGTGGCAGGCCATAGCCAATAATATACCCCCGCACCCCTGCCCCTTGTGATTCTCCGCTGGGGCGCGGCTGGCATGGGCAATCACGCCATGGAAAATCGTTCCTTTCCCACGTCCTGTCGGGACCGCCAGGGGCCAGAAGGAGGAGGAGGATGGAGCGAGCCAGGAGCTGGGGTCATTTAGATCACCCCGAAGCCCCTCGAGACCATTGGAATTCCCACGAAGCTCCTCGGGGCCTCTGGAACCCTCAAGAGCCCCTCAGGAACGTCGAAATCACGTATTGCATAAGGACCGTGTTGAGGATCCAGGAAGCTTGAACCCTAGAGCAGACGAGGAAGGCGAGCAGGAGGAAGGAGGAGGAGGAGAAGGGATGATAACTCTGGACGGGATTCGGACACGGAGGGAGAGGTGGCGAGAAAGGGGGATGACTGTAGATGCCTCTGGGCGCGTAGCTGGCTGAGCCGCCAGCAGCATCGGCGCTCGCGCCGATCCGAGCTACTACGAACGGCGACGTTCGCTCGAGGCCTCAACCAAATATATTGTCATTGTAGCACGCCGTGCACAAGTTGTACTTCTTGAAGATGTCCAGGCACGTGGGCTCCTCGCCGCAGAACCCGCACTTGTGTGAGATGGCCGCCTTCTCGGACTCGGACTCGTTGGCCGAGGCGCTCCCTGGCAAATCCGTGATCTTCCCCTCGTCGGGCGCTGGCGTGACGGGCTCGGCTGGCACGACGGGCTGCGCGGCCTCCGCCTGACAGGGTGGAATGGCCTTCGCCTTGCTCTTGGCCTTCTTCGGTGCTGGTTGCTTGCCGTCGGTCTGGCTCGCCAGCCTCTTGACCTTCGTGGGCGTGGGCAGCGCCTTGTCCCTGAGCTCCTTGAGCATATCCTTGGTTGTGTCCTCCGTGGACGCCAACTTCTGAGCGAGCTTCACTGCGAGCTTCTCGGCTTCCTTGATCTGCTCCTCGTCATCCCCGAACGCCGTCGCCTTGACCTGGCACATCTGGCTCTGAGACCCGTCGACCTTGGAGTGGACGCAGAACACGTTGTTCTTCGAGGTAGGCCTGCTCACCCAGATGCGCGAGTTCTCCGTCGGGCGAGTCTCCCAGACATACGTACCCCTGGAGGTGCTAACCTTTTCGGTGTCCTCGATCGCGTCGAACTCGGCGCAACTCAACTGGAAGATGCGAGCTTTGAAACCATCGGACCACGTTGCCAAGGTTGGGTCCTCTGGCGTGGACCCCTCTGGCTTCTTGACGTCCTTCGTGAACTCCTTTTTCTGACCTGGCATGCACCTCCACGCCTTCATGTGCTCGCGGCAGAAGCCCAATACGTACTTGCCCTCATGCTTGAGGCTGTCCTTCTGGGCGTAATGTTGGCCGTCGGCGGACGAAGCTGGCGCGCCAGCGCCCTTACTGGGCCCAAAACGCACGCATGCCAGTGGCGACACAGTCGGGCTTCGAGCGCGGGTGGTGGTGAGCGGGGGAGGCATTCCCTCAACACCTACCACATTCACCACCACCCACGCTCGAAGCCCTACTCAACCGCTCCACTGTTCTGAGTACGTTTTGGGCCCCCACCTCGGACGCGCCAACGGCGCCGTCGACGCCCTGCTGCTTGTCGGAGTCGGGCTCCTTGACAGCAGCCTCGGAGAGCTGCAAAAGCGGTAGGTCGTCCTCGTCGTTCTTCTCGGCCTCGTCCTCTTCCTCTCCTTCGTCCTCGACGGGCTCATCCTCGCCATCCTCGGCTTGCGCATCCCCGTCAACGTCTGTAGCCTGCGCCGCGGCGCCCCCCTTGGAAGCGGCGGCGAGACCGAGCTTGTGGACCCACTTGCTCGTCTTCTTGAGCCTCGCCTGGTTGATGGCCCTGCAAACGAACTTGAAACGATTCGGCATCTTGCTGAGCCAATCCGTCTCGTCATCCTTATTGAACTCCTTCCAATTTTCCTTGCACTCCTTGAGCACGACCCCCATCGCCTCCGTCGCCTCGGGCTTGCTCCAACTCAGCGAAGGCCTCACCTTAGATATCTCGGACCACATGCGATGCTGACTCAGGATGTTGGAGGACTTGCCGAAACCCCCCGATTTACCCGAGCCCTTGAAAAAGGAGGGCGCCTTCGCGAAGTCAACCGAGCAGCGACCGAGCTTCTCCGCGTCTGTCGACATCGCCCGCCGACTGAAAGTCCACAAGCGAATGCAATCGCTGGCTTGACCCACGCTGAACAGCCCAAATGGCAACGGTGGACCAGATAGGTTGGGGCAAGGGTGGCGGGGGTGGTCTGCCCTCGAATATCCAAAGGACACGAAGCACAAGCAGATCAGGGACAGCCCGTGCGATGCAATCGGATCACCAGTCGGGGCAGGCCGAGTGCCAATGTTCAACCACGATGCACGGATGCGCTATGTGTCTTCGTGGTGTTTGTATGTTGTGCTAATTACTGGTGCAATATGTGAGTAAAGGAGGAGAGAGAGAGAGAGAGAGGAGGATTTTTTTTTTTTTTTTTTTTTCAAACGATCACACCGCAACGCACGACAACTTAACTACAGGATCGAATTATTGATCCTAACACACCAAAAGGATCATTATATCGATCCTCTTGTCTAAGATCGAAAGTTTCCGATCTTAAGGACCTCAGGGAACAGCCCCTGAACGGCGAGGGCCGCTCACCCTCCTCCTCCTCCTCCTCCTCCTCCTCCTCCTCCTCCTCCTCCTCCTCCTCCTTCTCTTCCTCCTCCTCCTCCTCCTCCTCCTCCTCCTCCTCCTCCTCCTCCTCCTCCTCCTCCTCCTCGGACCCCCAACCCTGACCCTAAACCCTAACCGTAAACCCGAACCCTAAACTCTAACCCTGAACCCCAAGCCCTGAAACCGAACCCGAACCCTAATCCAGAACCCTAACCGTGACCCCATTAACCCTAGCCCTAACCCTAACCCACACCCCTAAGCCCCAACCCTAATCCGGAGACCGACGGACATGTCGGCGGCGGTCCAAGCCGGGGATTTCACATCACCACTGCCTGCACATCGCAATGCTTCTGCAACCAGAGACCCGGGAGGTCTGGACCAAACGGTTACCGACCAGAAGGTTTAGTAACCCAAGTTTGCCTGTGATCTGTAATCAGAAATCCGGAAGGTCTGCACCACAAGGTTACCGACCAAAGGATTTATTAATTCCCATTTGTCTCTTCCCCGCCCCCCCCTCGCCCTCGCCTCCCTCTCCTCCTTCCCCCCTCCCCTCTTCTCGGCGTCCAATTAATCTGCGTTGTACTTCGCAGTCGTGAAGCGCTTTGTTTTTTCCTGTTTCACAGTCGGGCGCTGTGTCTTCATGTGTTGAATTTCGCTTTTGCTTCGCAGTCATAGCGGTGTCAATCGCGTACTCTTCTGCTCACGCGCCCAACCGGAAACCCGGCTCAGTGGCGACTGTGGTGCCCAAGCGCCGTGCCAAGGGCTGGCGCAAGGCTTCTGCACTGTACTGCACCGCCTGCGCATCGATCTTCGGGAACCCCGGCAGCCGGTGGACATGGATACATCCGAACCCCCTTCGAACCCGAAAATGTCCACGTCCACCGCCCGCCCACGGAGACACCAGGAGATCCACCCCCAAGGCGGCGATGATAGAAAAATCCCGGGCTCGCGGCCCCAGACGCGCGATGTCCTGATTTTTTTCAGCACGCGGCCCTGGGAAGTCCAGACCCCTTCCCCAGGGACTTGTTTTTCGTCCTGAGTCGCTTTCTGACGCTCCCGGGTCCCTCTGGGGGCCCCGCGGGGTCGAAGACTGCCCAAAACTTCCTGTCCCTAGTTTTTTACGACGTCGGAGATCTTGGAAGAGTCCGAAAATCGACGAAAAATAATATCGAAACATCTCTGAGGACCTCTGGGAGCATCTAGGGAGCCTCCGACAACCCCCGAGTGCCCAGGGGGCCCCCCGAATACTTCCCAAACCCCTTCGACAACCTTCGACGAGAAATCGACGAAGGCGTCTTCGGTGCAGGCGGCCCGCGCGACGCCCGGAGCGCCGCGGGCGGCGGAGGCGCCGGCGCCGGCGCAGGCGGCCGGCCCGGGCCGGCCCGGGCCGCCCCCGCCAGCTGTCCCAGTCGTCGGCCACGCGGGAGCCGCCGCAGACGCCTCGCCTCCCGGCGGAGGGAGGGAGGGTAGTTAAAAGAGGAGGGGCGGGAGAGAGCGGGGGGAGAGGGTAGGAGGGGCCGGCGCTACCCTGCACGCTCAGGTGCAGCTTCCTTGGAGGAGTGGGAAGAGCAGGATACGTGTGAACTAGTATGGTGTAACAATACAACGTTGATGATGATACTGATCATAATGCCACTCCCGTGATACCACGATACCACCTACCATTCCAACTTAGCTCTGTTGTAATCAAGTTCGGCCTCGCCGCCCCCGCCCGCGCACCACCCGCCACCCACCCGCCGCCCGCCCTCCACCACCCATCACCCGCCCACCACCCGCCCCCGGTCACCCACCACATCCACCCACCCACCATTCACCCACCACACGCCCATGACCCACCACCCACCCACCACCCACGCGACGCTGACGTTTCCATCCCCCCTTCCCCGACATGTTCTGGGCATCGCGCCCCTGAAGCGCCCCCCGAACAAATCAGGGGATTCTCACGACCCCCGAAGACGACGACGACGTTTCAAGACGACGACGATGTTTCAGCACCTTAAAGTACATGAAACGAAGGCATGTGCTCACGTCTGGTCGTGATGTATGTTATTGATGTGCATGATTGGTCTGTTATGTATGAATACTCTTCATGTCCATTCTTGAGGTTTCGTCTTTGCGCCCCCTGTCTCGAAGTCAGCTCCCAGTGTCTCTTCTTAAGATTTCGCCCGCCCCATCACCCCCTCACCCCCCCAAGCGTTCTGCGCCTAGCGTCACTGAGGGCAAGCGCCGAACGAATCGGGGAACGTTGAGAACCCCTCCCACTTCCCGCCGCCCCTGTCTGGGCGCCGCCAATTGCAGATTCTCATAGTGCTCGACTCTCGAAGTTTTTCTCCGATTGCGGACTCTCGGGCGCCGCCCCTGGGCCCCGGGGCCAGCAACGACGGCTCCAGGATGAGAGGGCACGCCCGGGAGATCCGAAGAGCGATCCTCGAGGATCCAGGCTCCAGATGTCGAGTGTCGAAATCTCTATGCTCGCGTCGCCAGACCTCCGGGGCGCCTCTCGCCGCCATTGCCGACGTCGCCATCGCCGGCGTCGCCGCCGTCGCCGCCGCGCCTCCGCAGCGACGCAAAGCTGCTCATCGTTTTTGATCGCCGATGGTTCACGCTTCAAAACGCGCCCCCATCGACCCAAACTCCACGGCCCCGGAACGCGAGGCGCATTCAATGGCCCCAGCCCACTCCGCGGCACGCGCAGCCGCTCTCTGAATTCGATCACTGCCACGCCGCTGAGCTCTCACATAGCAGCCCAGGAACGCGAGGCATATTCGATAGCCCCAGCCCGCTCCGTGGCACGCGCAGCCGCTCTCTGAATTCGATCACTGCCAGGCCGCTGAACTCTCGCATAGCAGCCTGCCCTCCAGAAAAATCAACGCAGCCCTCGGCGCCGGACGCCGAGCGCGCGGCGCCCTATAGGTACCCGCCGGGCGCCGCATGACCTCATAAAGGTCGCTTCACACTCCGACCCGACGATGCCTCGCGAATCTTCAAATGGCGAGCCCGAACATCTGAGGATCTGGAACTGCAGGCGCGCGCAAAGCGTGCGCGCGCAAACAATCTTGATTTACATCTAATTAAAATCGCTCGCCCCCTCAGCCCCAGACTTCCGGCTGAGAAGCTCGACGCACAAGGCAGACAGCGCAGCCATCGCCATGCCCGCGGCACTTCTCCCCGCCCTCCCTGCAGAGCATCACCGCCCCCAGACAGCGGCGCATCAAGGGCCGCACGCTACGCGCCGCTCAAAGAGACGACGATGCCCGAAGAGCCAAGGCTCCGCTCCGTCCTCCCCCACCTCTCCGTCTCAACCTTGTCCTTATCACCCTTTCCCTATGCCCACGCTGGTCAGACTACAACTCACACCATCCTTGCCCGTTTCGGCGCGGGCCCCCGAGAAGCACCTGCGGCGCGGCGCGCAGCAGCCGCAGCAGCCGCCCCAGGCTCCGCAGTCCAAGTGCTCATCTGATCCTGCAGCATATCGCGCACGTATCCAGGCAAATCACTTCCGGACTTGAGCTGCCTCAGCAAAGCGTTGCCGAGACCTGCATTCACTGCCTCCATCGCCGTGGGCTTCAGCACCCGCATCTCCTGGCCGATGCGAAAGAGCAAAGCGACGTCGCCACTCGCAGCCGCGACCGCTCTGAACGGCCCAATCCCTCCCGCCCGCCGACTTCCTGTAGTGAACTTAAAACCCCCAATTTTTCTTTTCTGACGCCGGCCACACGGAATGTGCCTCCAGAAAATCCATGACCCCAGCGGCGGCAACATTTCCAGCCCGGTTCCTGTGGAAGCTCCCGTAGTGCTGCACGGAACGAAATCGGAAATCGCTTTGACTGCCTCTCCAAACCCGGGCCCCTGTTCCCATTTGAAAGCCACGATCCCAATCCGAATCCAAGAACGAACATCGTTTCCGGCCCCAGGGCCCAGAACCCGTTGTCTTCCATGAGCCCGAAGCCCTACCAGCACCCCCCCGCGAGTCAATCCTAGCGCGCAGCGATTGTCGAACCCCCCAGCACCTGCTCGGCGATCTCGTTGAGTTCCTTCATCCTGCCCTCAGCGCCGCCGCCTTCGCCAGCCCCGCCCTGCGGCCCCGCCGAAGCAGCCGGGGATGGGGGCGCCAGCAACGCGCGCGCCCGCGCCGCCAGCTTCTTCTTCTTCTTCCCGGCAGCCTCCGCGATGCGCTGCGAGACCTTCCCGTGGACGTCCGCCAACGTAAGCCGGGCGGCGCGAGCCGGCATCTCCACGCCACGAGGTTGCCCGGCCGAGCTCGGGGCCACAGCGTCGGCGAGCGCTTCGGCGGCAACCTCCGCCGCGGGCTGCACGCCGGCGCCCGCAGCCAAACGGATACTCGGGAAAGCCACGATGGCAGGGTCGCCCATGACCCACCGCCCAAACAAGGAATGGCTGCACTGACCCCTCAGCTGGTGCACCCGGCACATACAGTAAGCCGTGCAATATAATACCCCCGTAGTCCGCGCTCTCCGTCCCACCTCCTTCTCCACGGCCGCCACCACCCCTGTGACCTCCCGCGTGTGAATATGGAGCGTCGTAAGCGAGAGGTGGCCGTCGCCCTTGATGACGTCCAGCCTCTTCAAGCCCTCCTGCGCAAGGGTCTTCGACTTGGCCGCATGAATCTTGAGGTGCTCCACGCGCGCGTACTTCTCGACGGCCATGGCAGACCTGTGGAACGGGACAGTGAGGAAGTGCACGTCGATAGAGTTCTTGATGACTGCGGCAGCTCGGCATTGATCCGGGACGGCCCGCAACAGCCTCTGGGCGACGTCGCGCGAGATGCTACTGCACTGGAAGTTCACAGGGGCCGACTTCGCGCAAGCTCGAGCATTCGGCACGTGAAGGGGATCGTCGGATGCGATCTGAGCCCCCATTACCACAGGTGGACCCGACACGAACCGCACATGAATACGCTCCTGGGCGACACCGACCACGGCCGTAGTCGGCGTCGACTCGCACACGCGCGGACCGGCATTCCTAGCAAACCCGTGCTTCATATAGCCATCGCCGCCTGTGATCCAGCCAGATGCTCGGTGGACGCCGCCATGCCGCGCGCGTGGATGTCTCCCGGCAGAGAGTGGCGGTGGACCTTGAATCGCGCCTCTAACGCCTGGGACATGCTGCCTGGAGTGCAGCCGGGAACATGACCGCTCTCCGCCCCGCTATACCAGGACGGCTCGAAGACTTGCTTCTTGTTGTTAAACTCGCAGACCTCGGCCATGTATGCCACCAGCGACTGGTGTCCACCCTCCGCCGCCCGGGCACAGAAGGCATGAATGGCTTCTGCAAGCAACAACTTCGCGGGGTAATAGGCAACCTCGGACGCGGAAGAAGCAGCAAACTTCCCCCAGTCCTGGCCCCCAGTGAATCGGGCAGCCTGCTTCTTCACGTTCTCGAGGACATGCCTCGGGCAGTGAGACAGCGGTGCCCCGGGGTGCTTCTCTGCCTGCGCCTTCTGAAATCCCGCGCACTTGTCCGCGGCCTCGCGGGCGCACCCGCGGACATGAATGCCAGCCTGCTCAAAAATTGCACCACTCGTGTCGATGAGTGCCCCCCGCTCGTCGGCGTGCTCTTTGGGAAACCAACCGTTTGCAATATCCACCCCCATGGTGCAAGGCGAGCCGTTGACCACGCGGGTGGTAAGGACTGCGCGAGAAAACCATCCCCAACCACTCGCACTCCTCTTGTAGGTGGCGTCGTGCACCTCAGGAAGTGACCGAATGCAACGCCCCGCCCGCGGCCTAGTTCCGAAGACACGGTAGGGCATTCCTGGACCTCCACCTCCCCGCCAACCCGCAACCCAAACAACCCTCGGCCGCCAGGGCCACCGGAAGCCCTTCACTTATGACTGGACCACCCGGGCGACTCCGACGCAAACACATGGGGACCATCCGGAATGCAAACTCCAAGAGCGCGCCCAGGAAACGAAGAAGTCCAGATTCCACGAAACAAAAACAGTAATCCCTTGCGACTGGCCCAATCACGAGCTTTTACCCAGCCACAAACTCCAGAATCGGACCGAACTCTGAGCCGGAAGATGCCCACGCGCGGAGCCCCATTCCCCCATCGCAACCTGCAAAGGAAAGGGCGAGAGCCCGAATTGATATTAAAATCCAGCAACACACCAATGGTGATGGCGTTAGAGGTTGCACTGGCACTCGAAACTTGCACTAAGGAGCACTCTAGGAGCAGCCGCGCGATAGTACGTGATAGAACCAGTCGTGTTCAAGACCTAGATATGCTTTAGTGGAGTAGGCGCAGGGATGCAACGCAATGCGCCCCTGGACAGAGAATGAAAAAGCGTTCTCCGCCAGAGGTCCCAGATTTAACGGGTCATCGACAAGAATGACACCCCCGCGGAATAGAAATGTATATATGTGTGTATATATTATATATATATATATATATATATATATATATATATATATAACATAATAATAATAATAATAATAATAAGCCTGTCGAGGACATCAGGGGTTCAGACGCCAGTCCCGAAGCCGATTTGCCGGCCAGAATGCCCCCCAAGACTAGCGACCTCACATTTCCCCGGCCACCCATGGAATTTGACGGGGCGACCCCCCCCCCCCCCCCCCCCCCCCACCCCGCGCGCGCGCCTGAAACTTCAATCCGAACGCCCCGCGCGCGGCCAAGGCATCCGCCATCTCCTCCTGGGCCGACGTCACGAGGACCGCCCGCCCAGGCATGTGGTCGCCGATGCGGTGGTACCCGAAGTCAAAGAGGCCGAGATTGTCGAGGCCCTCGAGCGATTTCTCCTCGACGTGCCGGCACCGCGCACAGAAGAGCTCCCCGTTGCTCTCGCCGCCGCCGCCACCGCCCGAGCGATCGCGCCCCGTCGCCCTCCTGCGAGCACACCTCGCAGCATCGAAGGACATCACCGCCCCCGACAAGCGCGCAGCCGCCGCGGCCCGCATGGGCGCGGCACCAGCAGACTGCTCTGCCACCAAGCGTTCCTCAACCGGAGTCCCCCGGACGATGCGAGCAGCCTCGGCATGCTGTCCTTTAGATATCGCCTTCAGCGCGTTGCCCTCCGCGAGAATGCGACGGCGGTGGCCGCGCTCGCTATGGAGCCGGCATTGCGCGTACATGCGGAGCTGCCCCCCGCGAGTCCTCGACTGCCGAAAGAATTTGCCCTTCTCAGCGCGCTGGTCCGCAAACTGCCGGAACACTTCCCGCGCGACCGCCGCTGGGCAAGGAAGCTCGGCAATGGTGATCCAAACGTCCGCCGGTGGATCCGCCGGTTGGGCCGCCGCCGGAGCTGCCTGGCCTCCCTGCGCCATCGCGCGCGCCGACAGATCGTTGGCGCTGCTACCCTTCAGAGCACCGCCTAGTCGTAGGCGACCTCGTCTTGAGCCAAGACAGGAAGAGGACGGCGGCGAGCGGAGACAGACCACCCGAGAACGGGAACAGGGGAATGGAGCAGATAAGTGGGAGATATAGGAGACAGGAGAGAGCGGGCACATGATCTTGCAGGCCCCCACCCCCCCAAGCCGGAGCAGGAGGGCACAGGGTCCACCCAGAGCAGTTTCTCCACCCCCCCCCCAAAAAAAAAAAAAAAACATCCGCCAGCCTGAAACCTCAATCCACAGACCCTTCCCAGGACCCATCCAGCACAGGTTCCCAACCCTGGATCCGCGTCTAAAACCCCCGGGGCCCGAAAACAACCCCCCGAAACCAAAACAGCACCCCGAAAACAGCCCCCCGAAAACAGCCCCCCGAGACCAGAAACGGACCCGGCCACCCCCCCCCGATGTCCTAGAACCTCAAGCCACAATCCCCGGACCCTTGACCAGCGCAGGTTCGCGCCCCGGAGTCCTTATTGAACAGTCCTTGGGCCCGAAAACGACCACCATGATCAGAAGAACAAAAGGCCTCCTCGAACCGCAAACCTCGGTCCCCGGACCCTTCCCGGGGCCCATCCAGCGCAGTCTGGATCCGCACTTTAAGTCACTGGGCCCGAACGCGGACCCCAGAACGAAAACGCAGGAAGCCGCGTCAAACCTCAATCAAGAGGTTCTGCAGACCCTTCCAGGAGTCCACCCAGTCCAGCCCATCATCCCTGGATCCGCATTTAAGGATTCCCGGCCCGAAGACGGCCCCCACGATCCACCAAAAACAAAAAAACTTGCCACCTCAACCTCGATCCCAGGGCCCTTCCCAGGGCCCGCCCAGCCCAGGTTCCCACCCCTGGATGCTTACTTGAAAAACCAGAAATGAGCACCCAGAGAAAAAAGAAACGAATGACATCCTCGAACGTCGAACCTCGAACCTCGCCCCGCCCAGGGCCGGGCCGGCGGCGGCGGCGGCGGCGCGGCCGAGGGCGGGCCTTCGACGGCAACCGCCGACCCTGATGGACACCTCCGCCTGGGCGCAGGGCTCGGCGAGGAGGGGGGAGGGGGGGAGGGGGATGAGGAGGAAGAAAAGCACGAGGAGAAGGAGGGGGGAGGAGAGCGAAGAAGGAGGAGGGAGGCGTCGAGGAGGAGGGAAGAGGAAGCAGGAGGGAGGAAGAAGGAGGCAGGAGGGAGGAGGAGGATCGCCCTCGTCGTCGCCGTTGTCGTCGTCGTCGTCGCTGCCGTCGCCGTCGCCAGGTAGAAGGAGGAAGGAGGCTGAGGCCCTGGAAGGACGGCTGCGCTCGAGAGGCTTCCATTCTTGTCCTGGACTAGTTCCTGCTGGTTCTTTAGCGTTTGCTTAGAAGGCGGTCCGACCGTCGTCGGAGCAGTGCGAGAGAAGCAGTTCCTATCGAGACGCTTCCGCGCGGCCCGAAAGCCAGGCAGAGCCGCCAGGGCAGGGTTCTCGAGCACGCATCGCGCCAGCTACCCGTGCGCGCAAAAACACAAGCTCGAAGCAGAAGCTACATTGATCGCCTACGGGGGCCAACCCCCGCCTCCGCTGCCATCGCCCCGCTACCCGCCCCCTGTCCCGCGACGACGACGAGGCCGAGGGCGAGGGCGAGGACGACGACGACAACGAGAGGAGAAGGGCGGGCACAAGCAGGACCGCCGGCGGCGGCGACGACGGCGTCAGCGACGACGACGGCGGCGGCAGCGACGGCGAGGACGACGACGGCGGCGGCGGTGACTACGACGACATCGTCGGCTGCGAAGACGACCACGACGACGCAGACGACGACGAGCACAACAAACACGACGACGACGACGACAACGACAACGAAAACGACGACGACGACAACGACGAAGAATCCACTCCGGACTCCCCAGAATGTTCTGAACATCGCGCCCCCGTAGCCCCTCCCCGAACAACTCGGGGAACGCTCGTGCCCCGCGACGACGACGACGCCGACCGCGACGTCGACGATCACGACGTCGACGACGACGACGACAAAGGCACCGACGACGACGCAAACGACGACGACGACAACGACAAAGTTTCCACTCCAGACTCCCCACAATGTTCTGGACATCGCGTCCCCGAGGCCCCTCCCCGAACAACTCGGGGAATTCTCGTGCCCCCCCGACGACGACGATGCCGACCGCGACGTCGACGACCGCGACGTCGACGACGACGACGGCGACGCGCCCCCGTAGCCCCCCCAAACAACTCGGGGAATTCCCGTGCCCCACGACGACGACGACGCCGACCGCGACGTCGACGACCGCGACGTCGACGACGACGACAACGCAACCGACGACGACGCAAGCGATGACGACGACAACGACGAAGTTTCCACTCCAGACTCCCCAGAATGTTCTGGACACCGCGCCCCCGAGGCCGCTCCCCGAAGAACTCGGAGAATTCTCGCGCCCCCCCGACGACGACGACGCCGACCACGACGTCGACGACCGCGACGTCGACGACGACGACGACGACGACGCAAACGACGACGACGACGACAACGACGAAGTTTCCACTCCAGACTCCCCAGAGTTTTCTGGACATCGCGTCCCCGAGGCCCCCCCCCCGAACATCTCGGGGAATTCTCGCGCCCCCTCGACGACGACGAGGAGGAGGAATGAAGCCCAGAGGCCCTCCGAGCGCGGCCATTCTCCGCGAGGCTGCCTACGCGCCCCCCAGGCGCGACAGCGCGGCCGCGCGGCAAATGGCCGCCGGCAGGCCGTCGCGGCCACCCCGGCCCCTGCTCGCGCGCCGCCGCCGCCGCGGGGCCGCGTCGGCGAAGGCGGCGGGCCGAAGGAGCTCAGGCGAAAGCGACGCAATCAGCTTGTCCAGCAGAAGGCGCGCGCACATGGCGAAGTACAACGGCGACCCTGTGCGTCCCACGCGCATCGCCAAGGCAGCGATCGAGCGGGCCCCCGCGAAGTTCCCCCACGTCTCCAGGTGGTCGCTCTGGTCGGGGAAACCCGCAGCAAAACTGACGACGCTCGTGGTCGGAGGGGCCGGGAAGTCGCGGTGCCCGACTGCGCGCCGCAGACCCGCCTGGGCCGCGCGGAGAGGGCGGGGGGCGTTCCACTACACCCCCCTTAATAAAGGGGTGGGGGGCCTACAGGCGCGGCCCCAGCGCAGCCGCAATCGCAGAAGCTGGACCCCCCCCAAAATGTTGTGGACGCCGCTTCCCTGAAGGGGGCGAACCGAACAAATCGGGGAATCCTCTCGCCGCCCATGCACGACGACGACGACGACGACGACTACGAGGGCCACGACGACGACGCCGACCACGTCGACGCGGAGGCGACGAAGACAATGACGAGGACGACGACGACAACGACGACG